ACAAAGAAACATAGAGAAAAGTAACTATTTTTGCTACACCACTGAGCACTCCCCAACCCCCACTGCTCTCCCAGCCCCCACCCATGGCTGCCCTTCCCAGATCTAGCTCCTGACTCTTTTTTTAAAAGCCTCTATTCACTAGCTGCTGTCTGACAGGGAAGCAATCCCCACTGCCCACCACTGCCCCACGCTGTGTGGGGTACTCTGCCACAAGCCCCCCGACCCTCGCCCACTGTCCCTTTCCACCCCCATGGCTGCCCTGCCCTCCCCAGCTGCCAGTTCTTTAAAAAAAAAAAGCCCCCACTCACAGGCTTCTGCAGTGGTCTTGAGGCCCCATGTCACGTGGGGCAACGGGGGGCAGTGGGGATTTCCCCCCCACCCCCCACCCCTGCCTGGCAGCAGACAGTGAGTGGGGGCTTTTTAATTTTTTTTAAAGAGATGGGAGCTGGGAGAGTGGGCGGGGCAGCCACTGAGAGCGGGTTGGGGATGGGGCCAATTCTGAGATTCGGATGATTCAGCGGTGGCCGAATCTTCAAATCAGATTCACCCGAATCAATTCAGGACAGTGATTCGAATCACTGAATCGAATCACTGTCCCCCAGACCGGCTTAATCCAAATCCAAAGTGAATACTAGCCACTTCATGCAGGCCTAATAGACACCATGGCCACTCATCTTTCTTTCCTTTGGAGGGGAAGGGTGAAGAAAAAGAAAATAACAGGCCTGTTGTTTCCCCAAAGTAGCCTCTAGGCTAGGTATATGGCTTCCAGCAGATCAGGTAGCAAACAGGAAGCACAGTGTCCAATAGGGCAGGAAGCAGAAAGCAGAACGGTAACCCATGCAGGGAGCATGGGGAAGGGAGCAGGAAGCAGAGGAGTTGATTGGATTGGGTGTAGAAAGTACGGATCAGGAAGCAGAGAAGCAGACTGGACAGAGAAGGGGATCAAAATAACACTCTGGCAGGAGGTGGGGCTAATTTGTGGCACTTCTGCCAAAAAGTTTGTCCCCTCCACTGCCCTAGGCTGTGTGTAGATGAAATGAGAGGTGTGTGTGCACGACACTTTAAAGCAGGCTACATGCCTTTGCACCACTTTAATGGTGTCGGTGTTTGCACATCTCGGTGATGTATTGCACATTAATTCCAGCCACTGTAGGAAATTTGGCAGCGTAATGCACCTTGAATGACTTGGGGTGCAGCAAACTAAACCTCCTTCAAGGAGTTTTACTTTGCTGCCTGTACAGCTGTGGAGCGAAGCACCGCGCAGCTCCACAGCTCTGCAGGAAGCCTTGCAGGCAGCCTGGCAGCATCCCAGGAAAGCAGGCTCTGCCCAAGAAAAGTGGCAAGCCTGATCTTCCCTCCCCACCACCCCGTCGCAGCCCAACGACCACTCCACCCACTGGCAGCTCACCCTCCCCTTCCCGCCAGAGAGACAGGGAAGTCAGTGACTTGTGTTCACAACACGGGGGTTTAATCAGCCCTAAATTGAAGCGGTGTTTTTTACAACCCACCACTTCAATTTAGCATGCCCATTTCTTCTACACAGGCCCTCAACACATGGCACCTAGGACATCTCTGAGGATGACCCAGGAAGCAGGAGCTTCTTCAGTTATAAGATTAGGAGAGAGAAAGAGAACCAGGCCTTGCTGGTCTTCTTCCAGAAACCTCCCCAAACCTGTTTCCACCTTCTGGCTTAACAGCCTCCTCCTGCTGGTAGATGACACTGCTAGTCTTGTATTTTAAGTGGTAGAAGTGTGTATTGCTGAAAGTGGCTGCTGTTCAAAGTTTAAGGCTCACTGATGGTTCAAGTTGGAGAAGTGTTACGTGTGTATTTTTTTTAATGTTTCTGTTTTAAACACAAATTTAGGAATATAAATACAAAGCCTCTGCATGAAAACCCTATATTAAAAGGCCGTTACCTAGGTTACAAAGTCAAACATTCAACAGCCAGGATATGCCAGATTAGTGATTACCCAAGCTTAATTCACCTTACCATGCATATTCATTAAGTACAACCTTTAATCACATTCTTATATCTATACCTATATATCTATATGTAGATATATATCTATATATATCTTAATACAATCTTAATACAGTCCCCTTGAGTATCCAGCCTGCACACTGTGTTTTCAGTGCATAGCTAACAAAGGGATATGAGTTATTAAAATAGATAGATAGATAGATAGATAGATAGATAGATAGATAGATAGATGGGACCCTCTATGCTTTAATAACTCATATCCCTTTGTTATCCATGCACTGAAAACACAGTGTGCAGGTTGGATACTCAACTACTATTCAATCAGATATTTCCTAATGTCTGAGGCTTTCAATCTTATACCTGAATAATATTCTTTTAACATAGTGTCCGTCTGTGTCTGTGTGTGTGTCTGTGTGTGTGTGGGTGCGTGTGCACATGTGTGTAGAGACACAGTACTGGAAAATCCTAAAATTGAAATCCTGGTTAAATGAATCTGACCTGATTCATTAAAATCAAATAAACGTTATAAACAGCACTTTAAAATATATTACACGTAATTACTTCCTCTCCATCCAAAAGAAGTTAGCAGGCACAAAGATTATGAAAGCTTTAAAACAAGAAGCTTTTAGTGTATGAATCACAAAGCAAAACATTAATGTCAGGCTAATTTAAAGATATGTGCTTGAATGGTGGGTGATAGAAAGTGAACTTTACTCTTGATTTTGTAACATTTTACATGAACTTTTCCTTCTTGGCATCAATAGATGTGTCTCTAGAGCATGTTCAATCATTTATCTTAAGCTAAGAACAAGTATTACAATTATCCTTAGACAAGTAGTGCCTGTGTGGTTGCATCTACACGAGATATTTACTGCAGAGATTACTATTTAGCTCTGCAGGAAACCTCTCGGTGTCTATACATGTGTCTCTATTAGGGTACAGGAAGTTGATGAACTCTGCAATGGGGTAGGTTACAAAAAAAAAACTCTGCAGCAGGATAGTACTTGTATTTACAAGTACTGTCCTGCTGCAGAGTATTTTGTGCACAGCAGCGCATGTATATACACTTCCTTGGGTGGCTGGGGCATGAGGATGTTAGGGCTAGTCCTACACTGAAGCACCCTTGTGCCCCAGACATCCCCCCCCCAGGACATTGAGCCAGGTCAGAACAGTGCTGGCTGGGACAGGGTCCGGGAGATCAGCCTGGCAGCCCAGTGCTGCTCTGACCAAGCTCTAGGTGCATGTGTAAATGGCATGCCCAAGAGCTTCCCGGGAGAAATAAACTCTGGAGCAATAAGCTCTGGTGTTTATTATTTGTCCTGGAACAGAAATGTCCTGGGACTGGTGTGTGTACACATCACCCTTCTAATCAGGGTTTAGTGAGCAGCTGAGAGCATTGCCACTTTTCTGCCATTGATTCAGTGATACAATCCTGGGATAACCATTCAGATGCACTTTGACATTTCCTGGGATAAACTGTTAGTACTTTTTATCCCATGTACCTTTTTAGGATTTATCCTGGGACAGTCTGCATGAATGTCTGAAAAGTTGTGCTTTGTCCTGGGATACAATGGCTTATCCTAGGATTGGAGAAGAGGGAGGGTCTGTTTGTAGCCTTACTGTTTCTTACAGCAAGGCACTGAGGCTTCTACCTTTACCTCTGTGCCCCAACCATGATGACCAGCAGGTACTCAGAAATGTTCAACCCCCACTCTTTGTAACATTATAGTTAAATGCAGCCATAAAAAAAAACTGTATGAATGTCTTCACTCTAGCTTTGCCATATTAAAGCATAGCTCTGTGATTTATCCTTAAGTCTTTTTTCTTTAAGCCCTTTATTTTCAGTTCCAAAGCCACTGATTAATTCTCCAGGCTTAGACTTAATGGCTAGGATCACTTTACCATAGACACAGACTGCAAGCTGGCTACAGCAAGGATACTGTAATCAGATTGTGACATTCATCTAAGGAAAGGGCAGCATGCACATACACATGCATGTACAGATGAGTTGTGTTTATACAGCAGGTTTTCCCTTCTGCAGAAGCACAATCTGATGGGCATACTGGCATACTGGGCATCCTGGCATCTGATTGACATACTGGCATCTGAGAAACTGAAGATTTTCCTTTTATGTCCCCCCTGCCCGCCACACTCCTATATACACATAGGACAAGGTTGCCCAAGACAAAAAAGACTCCCCTGCCATATCCTCTCTCTTTACCCGTACTTATAGATTAAGCCCCCTTTTTACCTATGCTTCAAGTTCTTTAAATCTCTCATTGTAAAGTGTGTTTTCCAATTCTGAATCATACTTGTGAGATTGTTTTGAACCTTCCAGTTTACCATCAACCTTTTTAAAGAGGAGACACGGGCACTGGGCAGAGCTCCTGGACTCACTAAATCTCCAGCTGCCTCTCAGGAACAACTTGACGGTATAAGGTCACTCTGAGTTGCCTTTTGCAACTAGTAGCTAAATGCCACCTGTAGGGAACCAATTTTAATTCATCTTGCTTGTGTCAGAGTTTAAAGCTGCATGCACTAGATTACTTAATGCAGGTATTATTTCAGATAGCTATTCCCACCCCCTCCCCCCAAATACATACTGTAAGAAAGCCATTACCTACGACGAGGAAAGAAACTTTGCATTACAAAGTACATGAAGCACATATGTCACCAAATTAATATTTAGCAGCATTTTAATCACAGAAACAGCTTGTGGATTGGGAACTGGGTCACTGACCTACACCACTCCCCTCCCTTGGTGGGTGGGTCCATTGGGCGGGTGTGCTCTCTTCTTCAGTTTTTTTTTCTTGCTATATCATTCAACTCCACTGAATGATGCTGTCCCATTGAAGGCAAACAGCAAACCACTCTCTTTATCAAGCCCTTCCAGCTTTCAGCTCCTTCCCCATGCCTTCGTCTGGCTTTTCCACCAATATGAGATTCAAATTTTCTCTCCTGGCAATTGTTCTGGAGGCGATCCTCATTGCTTTATTTGGGATATTTGTAAGATACAAAGAATTCACCATACATCAATCCCAAAAAGAACAAACACTACACATTGAACTATACCCATGTAAGTATTCTTATTTGTATGGCTTGGTAAGAGTTGTAGAAGTTTTGGTTGCTATCATTGTTTGAATGGTGCTACTAAATAGAGGGCTTTCTATTAAGAGGAATTGTATTGCTTCCTACCACCCTTTTCTTTCTGTTCTTTCTATTGTACAACTAACTGCACTGGAAACTGGGGAGATCGTTCCACTACTGCTCATGGGCATTCAGAAGGGTCCTCTCAGGGGGGCACGTTTTTAGCAAAGTATTGTCAGTCCTTTTGCACTGCAGAAGCTTTGAATGAGACTCAGATCCCATTGAAGTTGACTGGAGTTTTGTTCCTCTCTGGAACAAGCCCCTAGTTCTACAAAGCAATCCGCTTGTTGAATCTAGGTGCTTGGCCAAAAATACCAGACAGTCTTTCTACGGTTGTGCTGGATATCTGCGCTATGAAGGCTTGAAGCAGTTTGGGGAGGTTCTTTTCTATGAGATGCAATGTTGATGTTCGTGTTTTCTTTTTCTGACGTCCACAAGCAGCTGTCTTTCTCTTTCATACAGTGTCATATATCAATGTCTAAATCTATGAGCCACTGTCTGGTTTTATCGCCCAATGTGTGGATTCCATCTGCTCCGTCTAGGCTTTTTGTAAAGATTGTAGCTTTCAATTCAGTGCTGTTTGCTGGACACTGCGTTCACACAGGGAGCTGTCTGAGATGTTCATCTTATGAAGCGTTGTTGTGAAGCATCTGTATCCAGATCTCAGTCTGTTGAGCTGGACCCACGCTTCTCTGTCAAAGTTGTGCCCAATTTGGTGTCAAAGTCGATGTATTTGGTGTTAGTATAAAATGCTACAGGAATAGGTCTGAGCTTTTGCAGCTGTCAGCCCACTCCATTGCTGCCCATAGGTTTGGTTGACTATCCCCAATCTCTTCCAGCAGCTTGTGGGCTTCACGTACATGGTTTATGACTTTTGAGCCTCTTAAGCCTCCATCTATTCATATCTTCAGCTAATAGTTGATGGAACCGGTGATTTTTGTCATCTCCTGCCTCTTTTGTCAGTAATGATGTTAGGATCTGTCTTAAATCAATTGCTGTAATGCCCAAAAGTACAGTAAGTACATCTGTGTGTGTGTAGGCTGTCCAGCCTGTTATGAGTCTCAGTGCACTGTTAAGTACAGTGTCAAGCTTTTTAGTGTGACAACTTCTGGACCATACAGGAGCACAATATTTGTCTGGGGCATATACCATTGCAAGTGCAGCAGTTCTGAGCACTTTGAAGTTGGCACCCCTTGTCATACTGGCTAAACCTCCCATGAAGATACTTTACAGCTGATCTCCCAAATGTGATGTTTATAGGTGAGGGAATGGTCTAATGTGACTCCTAGGTAGGTTGGAGCATGAACAAGCAGCTGATCCATGTGAATAAATAGGAATAATTGTTAACAGGTGGGCAACCCATGACTTGGTGCCATTAATGGAAAAAGTCTGGATAATATTTCAAACTCAAAGAGTTTTTACATCTGACTGAAAGGCTGCTGAGGATAATGATAATATGCAACTTGTATATATCAGTAGTGTTTATACGTGTAAGTAGGCATCATTCCTGATGCCCTTTCAGTTTAGAGAGGATATATAACAGAAATAGGTCAGTTTGCATTTGGATGCATATATGTGTGTGTGTGTGTGTGTGTGTGTGTGTGTGTGTGTGTGTATGACTGACCCATTTCTGTAAGTGATAATGCCACCCTAGGATTTTAGAAGTGTTTTTAATAAGGTCATGGTGGAGACCTAACTGATCATTTTTGGAAGAATAACCATATTTACCACAATAAAGAAGTCATTTCAAGGAGGAAACAGATAGGTTATCCAAGATGGTATTATTGGTGACCTCTGAGTTGCACAGAAGTGAGAATCAAAGACCACACTAGTGACATTGCTAGTGATATCACCAAGGGCTCAGTGACGTAGGTCTTTGACAGCAAGGATGAAAAATAGGAGACTCTCCCTAACGTAGACATCTTCCTACCACCCCTAGCAGACTCCTTTTTTTCTGGGAGCTGCATGGAACATCACAGCACTGCATTCAGCTGCCTGTACCCCAAAAATTCGCTCTCAGCCTTTTGCCACACATTTATGGTTTCTGTCTACACTATTGGGACAATCCTCTTTCATTCTCTATTTAAACATCTTTAACACTAGTTTGATGCTCATGGGCCAGACCCATGTAAACCAGCATAGCATCATTGCCAGTAGCATAGTCTCTGTCTGTGTTAGCTGCTTCTTGTCATTCAGAATCACATATGTCTGTGCACTGAAACGTCTCATTATGCAGCAGCGACTTGTAATAGTAGGCCAGTCTTGGGCAGCCCAAGGTGCTGCACATAATGGGCCAATCTTGGGCTGCACATGGTGAACAGTGTGCAATGGTTTTGTTCAAACCATTGTTCAAACCTGCCAAACTCCAGGCGTTTCTCCATCTATCCTGCAAAAACATGCAGGGTCCTATAGAGACCCCGGCTAAGACCTGCATTAAAAAAAGGGTCAGGTCCTCAGCTGGTATGAATCAGCTTAGCACTACAACTATTTAAAGTCATGAATACTGACCCTTACAGAGGCTTGATGGTCCAAGGGTCCAATCTAATAATCTAGTTTCACATTGTCAGTCACTGGGTTTTCCAGCACCTTTCCAAAGAGAAGAAGTGAAGGACAATGGTGGGGAAAGGGACTATTCCAAAATTTAACAGACCTTGCTGATCATCTCAGTGGCCACATCTACCATAGAAAAACAGTTAATGTTTTAAAGCATATTCATTAATGCATTGTAACACAGGTATTAGTTTTAACCATGTAAGCAACTACCTGTTGGATCAACTTCTTGGATGGTGTTTCTCCATTGAATCCTATGGAGTCCTGCCAGGGATTTCTCTGCATTTTTGGCACACAAGGAATGAGCTTGATCCACAGAGGCAGAGAATAGCATCATAGCATATTCTTCACTTACTCACATACAACTCTAGATTCTTGCATATTCTCTGGCCCATCAAGGCTACAACACTGGAACCATACAATTCACATAGCAGCCTTTTTTTTTTGGTTAAAGTTGAGTAAATAAAGCTGTATCTCTATAAAAGCCACCAAAGAAAGTTCTGTACAGTTTTTTTATATATTTGTCCTCCTTGCAACTTTTACAAACTAGGAATGCAAGACTACCAACAATAAATTTCATTTTATGACTTACAATGCATCTCCTGAGCTGTTGGGAGTAAGAGTCACTGATAAAGAATTAACAGTTGTGCAAAGAAAGAAAATGCTTACTTTACATTTGAAAGAACAGCGAAGAGCTTTTTCTACTGGCTTTGACTCTTGATTCTACTTTTTAAAATGAATCTTCTCTTTGACTATCCAGGAAGATGATTCTCACATACCTGCAGAAGTTTTGCATCTCTTTCCAGATTACCTACTCTTATATGAATTGGGGTATTAAGACCAACGCAGAGACATACCTGTTCCTGTGGTGGTGGAGGAATGTTTAATTTGTTAGTCTTGAGGCAACCACTAGGTTTTGTTTAATCAAGCAAGGAAAGGTTTTTAATTGTTATATTCACTTGTAATTTGCCCCCGTGAGTCAGATATTGTAGCTGCAAAAGTACATGCTAAGGGTGAAGGCTACAGAAATGTCTGATTTCCGAGTTAGAGGATAAGTGATTAGATGGTACCATATGGTGACACAACTTGGTGACATCCTCTGGCCTGCATTAGGTAGGTGATCGTACTGCATGATGCTAAAAGGTCCTTTCTGGCTTTAAACTATAGACATTTATAAAGTTAATATTTTCCCTGTAGGAGGTTAAGAGTCTGGCACTAAAAATAGAGAGACCACAATGTGGTTCCCATCTTCAAAAAGGGGAAGAAGGAGGACTCAGGAAACTATAGGCCAGTTAGGCTTACTTTGGTCCTGGGGAAGATTTTTGAGAAAATTATTCTGGCGCATATCCACGAGGGGCCAGCAGGGGAGATTATGCTTAGGGGCAACCAGCACGGGTTCATTAGCAGCGTGTCCTGTCGGACCAACCTGGTGGCCTTCTACCACCAGGTCACCAAATACTTAGACGCAGGGGTAGCAGTGGACATCGTCTTCCTGGACTTTCGGAAGGCCTTCGACACTGTCTCTCACCCCGTTCTCATTAAGAAACTGGGGGTTGTGGTGTCGACACCCACACAGTCAATTGGGCCGCCAACTGGCTGGAGGGCCGCACCCAGAGAGTGGTGGTGGATGGGTCATTTTCGACCTGGAGGGATGTGGGCAGTGGGGTCCCCCAGGGCTCAG